GGGGCGGAGGAAGGACGTGCCGAGGCGCAGAGTGGCAATGGAGGCCTGGGGGAGGGGCGGGGGGCACCGGCTGGAACGCGGCCGGCGGAGCCCAGTGCCCTCATACTCGCCTCCTCTCCCCGCAGCCGCGTCCTGAGACAAGATGGTGAAGGTCGGAATAAACGGGTAAGTGCGAGGTGGCCGGGGTAAGGCACTGGGTCCTGTGACCCCACGAATTGGGTCTGCAAGGCTTTGCAGCGCGTAGGGCACATGGTGGGATGGTCGTACCGCCGTCTCCAAGGAGAGTTCAAGGTCAGCGGGCAGACCCGGCAGGCAGCCTCGTGACCCTGTTGCGCTTCCAGTGACGTCGCCCCTGCGGGGACAGGACACGGCGCCCCCGCTCCAGCCTCAGATAACCCGGAGAGGCTCCGATTCCTGCAGGGGTTACGTGCATCTCGCCCCAGGCCGGGGCCGCTCTGTCCTTTGCGCCCTGCGAGTCACGTGCTGGGGCCTCTTCGCCCGCCGGCGGGGGATGCGGGCCGGGTGGTTGGCTGCGGGGGTGGGTAGGCATGATGCGGGGCTGGCCGCCATGTTGCAACTGGGAAGGAAGTGAATGAGGCCGTTAGGAAACCTCGCTCGGCGCTGGGTTCGCTTTCCTACCTATGACTAATCCCAGTCTTGCCTCAGTGGGGTGGAGACGCCTTTATCCGGTAAACCGAGTGAGACAAAGCTTTACTGTACTTTCTCTCAGAAGAGCTGGACCTCAAACTAGACCATATAAACCCTGGACCATCCTTTAAGCCACCAGCCAAATTTCTGTTGGCAGTGATGCTCTTCCTAACGATTCTGTGATGACTCCAAAACGGCGGATTCTTGGGGTCCTCCTGTGTCTTTCCTTTTTTTGGAGAGGTGTGGGTGTGGCTTAGTGCCATGCTGGGGAAGCTGAGTCATTGATGGTGAGAAATTTTCCACTGCAAAATGGCTCTCGCAGTAGCAGCCCCTGTTTTCACACCAGCTCCCCTCGAAACTCTTGTCCTCGGCCATGCCTAGAGCTGACCCAGCCCCAAAGACCAGGCTCCAAAGGTCGCAGGGAGGATCAGGTGTCCATGCGCCTTGAGAATCTTGCCCTTCTCCCCATTCCGTCTTCCAGAAACCAGATCCCCCCACTCCACCCTAATGTGGGGTTAAATATAGCTGCCTGACCTTTCTGCCGCTGAGGGCCTGGGCTTCTGCTCTCTTCTACCTCCTTTCCCGCAGGCACATCTACATCTGTTGTTACCACTCCTGATTTATGGAAAGGAGCTAGGAAGGGCGAGTAGCTTAGCAAACTAGAGCCCTGGGGTTAGGAGTTGAGAAAGGTTCGTTTTCCCCCATCTCTTTCCCTTCAGTAGGAGGGACTTGGAGAAGGGGGTGTGGGCTTTTCCCCAGCTGGTTAATTTCTGACCTTTACTCTTGCCCTTTGAGCTTGGTGATGCTAAAGTGTATATGTCTTTGCTCCCTAGAGTGTGTAGCCTGAAGCTGGGCCAGACAGAACAAGCATTCCCAGCACAGGTGGGAGTGACATGTGCCCAGGCTGTAGGTGACAGCATCAATGCCCCGCACTGCCATTTCTCCTTGAAGGGCTTCAGATGATAGTGGGATGGGCATGTATTTGAGCCTGATCTCTTGGGCTGGATAGGAACCTTCACTTACGGCCATACTGTAAAGCTAGGCCATCCTGGAAGGGTCGCTCACAGAAGATAAAATGAGATCTCCTGGGGCTTGCAATGGTAGGAAAGTGCCACTTTCTAACCTCTGAAAGAGGATGAGTTGTTCTAGGGCTGCTTACTCACTCAGGAGAATTCTCTACTTCCCCTTCCTCATGCTGCCTTGCCTCCTACCTCTCAGATTTGGCCGAATTGGGCGCTTGGTCACCAGGGCTGCTTTTAACTCTGGTAAAGTGGATGTTGTCGCCATCAATGACCCCTTCATTGACCTCAACTACATGGTGAGTGTTGCCCATGCGACTGGTGTGAGGGCCAAGCCTGGCCAAAGCACAGTCCCTTGAAGCCCCCACCTGGCCTTTCAGGTCTACATGTTCCAGTATGATTCCACCCATGGCAAGTTCAATGGCACAGTGAAGGCTGAGAATGGGAAGCTTGTCATCAATGGCAAGCCCATCGCCATCTTTCAGGAGTAAGTATGGAAGGTGGGACAGGAAAGAACTTGCTTGCAGGGAAGTGCGAGGATGATGTGATGACACCTCATGTATATGGTACCCCTGTCCCTGAACTCTGCCATCTTCTCTTGCAGGCGAGATCCCACCAACATCAAATGGGGTGATGCTGGTGCTGAGTACGTAGTGGAGTCCACTGGTGTCTTCACTACCATGGAGAAAGCCGGGGTGAGTGGCAGGAAGACCAGAGATGGAAGGTGACCTGGGGTCTGGTGTAACAGGAAGGATGGAGCAAGCTAACTTAGGCCTATTAAGGGAGAACCCCGGGGGTGTTAACTGCTCCTCTGCTACAGGCGCACTTGAAGGGCGGGGCAAAGAGGGTCATCATCTCTGCGCCTTCCGCGGATGCCCCCATGTTTGTGATGGGTGTGAACCACGAGAAGTATGACAACTCCCTCAAGATCGTCAGGTGAGCCTGGCAGCAGGGACAGGGCCGGGCAGCACACAAGTGGCCATGCAGTGCTGTGTGTCCAAGGTGGGCGTGCTTCCCCTTGACTTGCCTCCCTCGTTTCAGCAATGCCTCCTGCACCACCAACTGCTTGGCTCCCCTGGCCAAGGTCATCCATGACAACTTTGGCATCGTGGAGGGACTCATGGTATGAGTAATGGGAAAGAGCCCAGAGCATGTCCATTTCTCGCCCAGGATTGGCCCTGAGCTGAGGGGCGTTGGGGGTGCTAAGGGGTTTGGCTCTAGGCATGCTGTCCTTTAGTTCTTCCTGAGGGGAAGAGGAAGCCTGAAAGGCAGGGAATGTGAGGAGCACCATTCAGGGGCCCCCATTCCCTCCTTCATGTTTGCAGACCACAGTCCATGCCATCACTGCCACTCAGAAGACTGTGGACGGCCCCTCTGGGAAGATGTGGCGCGATGGCCGAGGGGCTGCCCAGAACATCATCCCTGCCTCCACGGGCGCTGCCAAGGCTGTGGGCAAGGTCATCCCAGAGCTGAATGGGTGAGGCTCTTTGCTGCTCTTCTGCCCTGGGGGCCTGGCTAATGAGCAGGTGTGGTGCTGACCCTGCTCCCGGTGTCTGCAGGAAACTCACTGGCATGGCCTTCCGCGTCCCCACGCCCAACGTGTCCGTCGTGGATCTGACCTGCCGCCTGGAGAAAGCTGTACGAATGTGCTGGAAAAGATTTGGTGGGCAGGGGATTGGGTTTGTGGAAAATCATTGTTAAGAGTGGAGCTTGAATGACGATCTCTTTTTTTTTTTGTACTCTGTTAGGCCAAGTACGATGACATCAAGAAGGTGGTGAAACAGGCATCACAAGGGCCTCTCAAGGGCATCCTGGGCTACACTGAAGACCAGGTACCACTGACTGGGCAAGTAAATGTGTCTACGTGAATCTGTTGAGCAAGACTGTTCCCACACTTGGCCCTCTCCCCTCCCCAGGTTGTCTCCTGCGACTTTAACAGTGACACCCACTCCTCCACCTTCGATGCTGGGGCTGGCATTGCCCTCAACGACCACTTTGTCAAGCTCATTTCCTGGTATGTGGCTGGGGTAGAGGACAAGCTTAAGAAAGTGACGGTCTCTGGTGCCCTCTGGTGTCTGGCTCAGGAAAATAGCCCTTAACTCTTGACCTTCTAGGTATGACAATGAATTTGGCTACAGCAACAGGGTGGTGGACCTCATGGTCCACATGGCCTCCAAGGAGTAAGAGCCCCCTGGATCACAAGCCCCAGCAAAAGCGCAAGAGGAAGAGAGAGGCCCTCGGCTGCTGGGGAGTCCGTGCCCCAACTCATCCCCCGACACATTGAGAATCTTCCAACTTCGATTTCCATCCCAGACCCCCTAAAGAAGGGGAGGAGCATAGGGAGCCCTACCTTTGTCATGTACCATCAATAAAGTGCACTGTACCCAGCCAGCTGTTTATCTTATTCTAGGGTCTAGGATAAAGGGAGGGAAGCCGGGCTGGTGCCAAGGCGATGATCTTGCTTCGAGTACCCAAGAACAATCTGGTCTACCCCAACCACACTTAAGCTCCACTGTGGGTTTAGAGCTGCGCATCAGTGAAAGGCATCCCAGAGGTGTGTGCACTCTGTTCTTCAAAGGAGCCATGTCTGTCTGTCCTCACCTCAGCTTAGTCTCCCCTCCAAGGCCTCTGGGTGCTCCAGGAAGCCACCACTGGTAACTTGAAAGAACAAAACTATTTTCTCACCATGCTTCAGCTCTGGATTACTCATTTGTGTTGGCTGAAGACAGGAATGGCCTGGATGTCTTTATCCAGAAGTATTTTGTCTGCAGCCCCCTGGAGGGTAGTAACATGGACCCAGGAAGCCAGCTTCGGAGGAGGGCTACCAAATCCATATGGCCGTAACCCGTTAACTGGCTGCTGTGAAGCAGGTGCCCAGTAGGGCATGGCATGCAGCCAGGCTGCTAGAGTACAAATTCCATTCCCAGCTGTGAGGTCTTGAGCAAGTTATATTTACTTTCTGTGCCCTAGTTACTCCATCTGAAAAATAAGGGCATGACTGATAGGACCCAGTTTAAAAAGGTCAGCCGGATTCTGTGAGCTCTACACGGTAAAAGATGAGGGCAGGGCCCACCGCCTGAGTTTGTAGTTATGTGTGCGGATACTATTTCAATGGTCATCAGCACATGAGAGACGGGGGCATGGGTTGGGAGCACAGGCTACAGGCCACTTGGCCTGAGACCCTGCTCCTGCCCTAGAGGCTCTTACTGCTTTGGCAAGTTAAAACTTACTACTCTGCATTCTGCACCTGCTCGTTTATTAAAAAAACTTGTCTACCTACCTCATGGGGTTGTGTACTATTATCAGAAAGTGCTAGAAACAGTGACACAAAAGTGTTCGATACTCTCCAGTTTCATTATTATTAAAGATTCCATTCAAATGTCAGCTCAGCATCGCCCCCCGCTGGCAGTTATGCTGAGGTGTCATCAGTCGCATCTCCCAACTTCTCCAGCCCTTTCCAAGGACCTCTTACTCAGCATGTTGGTCTCAGTGTACGACAGACATGGAAGGACACATCTTCAGCTGATACTTACAGAGACTGAGACCCTGAGGACATGTGCACCCGCACACCCATGGGCATGCACACCAAATAAATGTACACACCCACCTGCGTACACTCACATGCACACACACACGTGAAGTAGCTTCACATTCTCTTGTCACTCAGCAGTGACTAGAAGACGAGCTTCCATCTCCCTCCACAATACCGCACCCAGTCAAACCCAGATGCCATCTAGAACGGGGCACGAGGCCCCTTTAATGTACGGCACTTCCAGGAAAGGGGTCATAGCCACATCACTGCTGTCAGCAGCAGCCGACCCTGAGGGAGGACATAGAGCCCTGCCCAGTCCCGCCTCCTCCACCTGAAACAGAAGGGGAAGCCCTCCCCTGCCACATGCTGCACACACCAGGGAAAGTTCGGCCTGACCCACTTCATACCAGTGCCTGGGTCGGTTAGCACCAGTGCGGAATCAGACATCAAGCAGGCTCTAGAGGCCACAGGGATGGAAGGAAGATCTGACAATCACATTCCTTAGCGGAGAAGGTCAGGGGTCCCAATCGCTTGGCAGCATTTTAAATATGAGAAAGTAGCAGACACCCACGCAAGAAGGCAGGAGTGCCCCAGGTGAGCTGGGGTCGCCCAGGAAGGGCAGGCTAAGCCTCGCTCCAGACACCCCAGGCCAAGGACCAAGGGAGGAAGGCAAGGGAGGAGCCGCAGGCCCCAGAGCCAGGCTTGTGCAGCAGGACAGATGATGCTTCCCTTCCATAAGCCCCCAACCCTCTGCCTGGTGAGTTCCCAGCCGGGTGGGCCCAGGGGAGCCGGGCTGGAGGGAGGTCCCTATCTCAGGGAGCTATCAGATGAGACATCACGATCGGAGTCCTCAGTCTCACTTGGCGGTGGCGGCGGGTCGCTAAGCGGGACCGCAGTGAAAGCAGGAGACTTTCTAGAAAAAATACCAGCTGTCACCCTGGGGCAGGGAGAATTTTGTCTCAGGCAGGGATAGGAGGTGGGGGAGGCTGGGAAAGAGATATGGGGAAGGGGAAGAAACAATGCCCACCCACTCTGATGGGGGAATCGCTCCCTTTTTATCTTGGGGACTCTGGGAAGCTCAGAATTCAGAAATATCTGAAGTCACAGCATGAGAGATGTCGCCTGAGCCCAAGGGCACTGACTTGATGACCTCAGCTTTATGTCTACCTGTACTGTTTTGTGACTTCTTACATATTTTCTTTTTGGTTGCAGTATAACTTATGCAGAATCAAATGCAGGGACTGTGGCTGGGACTTCAGATAAACATCTGCCCTGCACCCCTTGGGTTCCTGGTCAGGTTTTAGCTGCCAGAGCTGGTAGCATTGGAGGTTTCAGCTGTCCAGCCACAAGCGGACACATGTACCATCCAACTGCTGAGGGGAGCTGTGGGCTGGGTAGACACACCAGGGGACCCCAAAAGGAGAGCCCATCAACACATGACACAGCCACTGCCAGAGCATCTTCAGGCCTTGCCCGCCCAGGGCTCTGGCCCACTGCTCCCTCCTGCATCACCCCGGAGAGCCACACCCATGGGGAGCCCCTACCGGTCCCCAGACTGCGTGATGAGCCGGCGACAGGTCTCCATCTGCACGTCCAAACCTCGCTTCATGCTGCACATCTCCATGTACTCGTGCAGGTGCCGGTTCATGTCATTCTTGGCCGTGGCCAGCTCCAGCTGTGGTGGGGACAGGGCAAGGCCATGGATCAGCAGGGTCCCTGCCCCACCCCAGGGGGCCAGCACGCCAGGAGCGCCACCAGGCAGGAGCCCAGGCAGCAAAGGTTGGTGGCTCAGATTTAAAAATAAATCAGGTCAAGGCAAAAGGCCCCTAATATACTATCATTCCTTCTCGTCTTCCTGACAACCTCTGCCTACAGAGGAATCCAAAGGTATGCATTCTTTTAAGTCGCTCCCTGAGGAGAGCAGTGAGGAATTGTCAGTGCAGGCAGCTCTGAGGCAATGGACATTGTGGGGAGCGTGAGTGGTTCTGTACACAGCGTCACTTCCTCTCCATGGTTCCTCCAGGTCCTGGCCCATCCCTCACTCCCCGGACAACTCTGCACCCAGTCTCTCCCACACTGAACTGGGAGCTCTGGAAGGGAAAGGTCTTCTTATTCATCTCTGCATGTGCATGCCCAGCACCTCGATGGGAAGTTATTAATGAACTTTGTGAAGTACCCACAAGACTCCTGGCCTAAGGAAGAGACCTGGCCACACCATTGAGAGGGGCTCAGTTCTCGCACCATCCATTTCCTCCTTATTTCCTTATTTTCTCATTTGCAAGCCATCATCACAGACTAACAGAAAGACTGCTGTCCTCCTGGTTATAAGATGTATTTTGATTTAAGAAATATTTCATGTGCAAAAATGTGGGCTCAGACTCAAGGCAGCACAGGCTCCCTCCCGAGCCCAGTCCTGGCTCTGAGGAGGAGCCGAGAGGTGGGCGCGGAGGCAGGAAGACAATCTGCTGCCTCACTCTGTCTAGGGTACAAAGGACAGGGGCCAAAAGAAGAGGCAGAGTAAAACTGCTCAGAGTGGTATTTGCTTGACTGCTGAAGAGCAAAGCAAAAGGGTAGGAAACCACCCATAAATGCTCTGAACAGGACAGAGGAAGCCACCCCAAACTAATCCAAACTTGACAAAGGATGGGAACTTGGAGGAAGCAGTAAATGGGCCACAGGGCCAGACAAAGAGGTGGTCAGGACAGTAACAAGACAAGATGGTGACCTGGGTGGGTCAGAAGCCCTCATGAGTGTGGCTCGAATGGCTGGGGTCCCACAGCAGTGGGCCCAAGAAATAGGATGTGCCGACTGTTCAGGCTAGGAAGGAAACCAGAGAAACCAGCTCTTGTTCAGCTCAGCTGCCCCCTTCACCCTAATTTCCCACCTCAGGAGAGCCAGTGAGCAAGGGGCTGGGTTCTAGAGCCCACCACTCAGTACAACAGGGATGAAGGAAATGAGACAAATGTGTCTATCAAAACACAAGCCTAGACCTGCCACTGGCTGTCTCTGTGCATCTGTATGTCTCCCCATAACTCACACTTCAAAGCAGGGAGGAGGTAAAGAAGATGACCCTACATTCAAAGGTGCCAGTGACAACACGCGCTGATGACATCCACCAACTGCATAAGCAGAGGGCAGGGGAAGCGCGGGAAGATGGGGAAGAGGAGGCAGGGTGAAAGGATCCCTCCACCTCTACCCTGGGCTTTACCATCCAACAATGGGAAATGGTCCTCGCCACATCTCAGTGACCCTGAGAGGTCAACCTCACTGAGATAACAGGACCTCAGGTACCCCAGACGGATCCCCAGGAGTGGCACTGCCACCAACACCTTGTCTGCTCTCCTCACGGTTCTCCCACTGTCGCCGCCTGGGGAGAGGGGAGGCGGGGAAGTCGGTGTGAGGGCAGAGGGCAGCGGTTCTCCCTGCGCAGCTCCCCAGCTAGCGGCATGAGTCTGCTCTAACACTGAGCAGCTGTCTGCCTGCGCAGGAAACCAAAGCAGGTTTTGCTTGAAGGAGCAAGACTGTTTGATGTGTGTTGAGAGAGTAAGTATGTAGGAAATTTATTTCTCAACTTCCTTCTCAAAACGCAGGCAGTGTGAGAGCAGGGACAGTGTAATTAGCCACGTGGGCCTGGGGAGAGGCTGAGTCACAGAACTCCACTGGCCTCATGCCCAAGTCACAGTGTTCAGGGAAGGGCCCCCAACATGGGTAAGAGGGCTCACAGGAGCGCCCCCCCCACCTCCATGCAGGGTGCCACAAACCCTTCCTGCAGCCCCCAAAGGCCTGGCATGGAAGGTACAGCACCAGAGCCACTTGCCACCTCCAGAAGGCTCCCTAAGGCAAAGGACTAAAAATGGAGGTTCTGAGCCGAGGCAGCAGCCAGGTTCAGTCCCCGCTTAGTGGTCTCTGTGATGGCACCGAGTAGTAAGGATGGTAATAATAAAGCCAACACAGTGTGTTTGCTGAGAAAGACACTGCCCTAAGCCTCACTCAGGCAATCTTTCATGTGATCTTCAAACAGCCCTATGAGAGGAAGTATTAAGACTCCCATTTTACAAATAAAGAAATAAGCTTGGAGAGAATAAGCAGCTCATGAAACATCAGAGCCACAAGAAGTAAGAGACAGAGCTGAGGTCTGAGCCCCCATCACCTGCCCCACAGTGCCTGAGGTGTACAGCTACTACAGCAGGAGACCCTCTTCCTCCACAAAAGAACAGGGGAGGCCCTGGGCCTGGGGTCCCATAGCCCCACTCACGGCCTCGCTTCAGCTCACATCCTTACCTCTATCTGGTCAATGGTTTCCTGATATTCTTTCTCCCGGGTTTTGAACAGGGACTCAGTATCTTTAATCACCTTCTCCAAACTGTCCTCTTGCTGCTGGAGTAGGAAGGGAAGCAGGGAAGCGAGGGGGAAGCCGACAGGGAGGACCAGGGTGGGGCGATGCAAGGGCCAGGCAGGGGAGAGAGAGAGAGAGAGAGAGAGAAAGTCCGGTTACAGGAAACTGCAGGAAGATAAGGAGGAGGATAAAGGAAGAGGGGAGAAGCAGATAAAGGATGACAGCCACAGATGGAAAACAGCAAGGAAGCAGGGAGCTGGCTGGGCAGAACTATAGGGGCCCCGAGGCCGGGAGGGGTGGTTACCTCTCCCTGGGCCTNAGCCGGGCTGGTGCCAAGGCGATGATCTTGCTTCGAGTACCCAAGAACAATCTGGTCTACCCCAACCACACTTAAGCTCCACTGTGGGTTTAGAGCTGCGCATCAGTGAAAGGCATCCCAGAGGTGTGTGCACTCTGTTCTTCAAAGGAGCCATGCCTGTCTGTCCTCACCTCAGCTTAGTCTCCCCTCCAAGGCCTCTGGGTGCTCCAGGAAGCCACCACTGGTAACTTGAAAGAACAAAACTATTTTCTCACCATGCTTCAGCTCTGGATTACTCATTTGTGTTGGCTGAAGACAGGAATGGCCTGGATGTCTTTATCCAGAAGTATTTTGTCTGCAGCCCCCTGGAGGGTAGTAACATGGACCCAGGAAGCCAGCTTCGGAGGAGGGCTACCAAATCCATATGGCCGTAACCCGTTAACTGGCTGCTGTGAAGCAGGTGCCCAGTAGGGCATGGCATGCAGCCAGGCTGCTAGAGTACAAATTCCATTCCCAGCTGTGAGGTCTTGAGCAAGTTATATTTACTTTCTGTGCCCTAGTTACTCCATCTGAAAAATAAGGGCATGACTGATAGGACCCAGTTTAAAAAGGTCAGCCGGATTCTGTGAGCTCTACACGGTAAAAGATGAGGGCAGGGCCCACCGCCTGAGTTTGTAGTTATGTGTGCGGATACTATTTCAATGGTCATCAGCACATGAGAGACGGGGGCATGGGTTGGGAGCACAGGCTACAGGCCACTTGGCCTGAGACCCTGCTCCTGCCCTAGAGGCTCTTACTGCTTTGGCAAGTTAAAACTTACTACTCTGCATTCTGCACCTGCTCGTTTATTAAAAAAACTTGTCTACCTACCTCATGGGGTTGTGTACTATTATCAGAAAGTGCTAGAAACAGTGACACAAAAGTGTTCGATACTCTCCAGTTTCATTATTATTAAAGATTCCATTCAAATGTCAGCTCAGCATCGCCCCCCGCTGGCAGTTATGCTGAGGTGTCATCAGTCGCATCTCCCAACTTCTCCAGCCCTTTCCAAGGACCTCTTACTCAGCATGTTGGTCTCAGTGTACGACAGACATGGAAGGACACATCTTCAGCTGATACTTACAGAGACTGAGACCCTGAGGACATGTGCACCCGCACACCCATGGGCATGCACACCAAATAAATGTACACACCCACCTGCGTACACTCACATGCACACACACACGTGAAGTAGCTTCACATTCTCTTGTCACTCAGCAGTGACTAGAAGACGAGCTTCCATCTCCCTCCACAATACCGCACCCAGTCAAACCCAGATGCCATCTAGAACGGGGCACGAGGCCCCTTTAATGTACGGCACTTCCAGGAAAGGGGTCATAGCCACATCACTGCTGTCAGCAGCAGCCGACCCTGAGGGAGGACATAGAGCCCTGCCCAGTCCCGCCTCCTCCACCTGAAACAGAAGGGGAAGCCCTCCCCTGCCACATGCTGCACACACCAGGGAAAGTTCGGCCTGACCCACTTCATACCAGTGCCTGGGTCGGTTAGCACCAGTGCGGAATCAGACATCAAGCAGGCTCTAGAGGCCACAGGGATGGAAGGAAGATCTGACAATCACATTCCTTAGCGGAGAAGGTCAGGGGTCCCAATCGCTTGGCAGCATTTTAAATATGAGAAAGTAGCAGACACCCACGCAAGAAGGCAGGAGTGCCCCAGGTGAGCTGGGGTCGCCCAGGAAGGGCAGGCTAAGCCTCGCTCCAGACACCCCAGGCCAAGGACCAAGGGAGGAAGGCAAGGGAGGAGCCGCAGGCCCCAGAGCCAGGCTTGTGCAGCAGGACAGATGATGCTTCCCTTCCATAAGCCCCCAACCCTCTGCCTGGTGAGTTCCCAGCCGGGTGGGCCCAGGGGAGCCGGGCTGGAGGGAGGTCCCTATCTCAGGGAGCTATCAGATGAGACATCACGATCGGAGTCCTCAGTCTCACTTGGCGGTGGCGGCGGGTCGCTAAGCGGGACCGCAGTGAAAGCAGGAGACTTTCTAGAAAAAATACCAGCTGTCACCCTGGGGCAGGGAGAATTTTGTCTCAGGCAGGGATAGGAGGTGGGGGAGGCTGGGAAAGAGATATGGGGAAGGGGAAGAAACAATGCCCACCCACTCTGATGGGGGAATCGCTCCCTTTTTATCTTGGGGACTCTGGGAAGCTCAGAATTCAGAAATATCTGAAGTCACAGCATGAGAGATGTCGCCTGAGCCCAAGGGCACTGACTTGATGACCTCAGCTTTATGTCTACCTGTACTGTTTTGTGACTTCTTACATATTTTCTTTTTGGTTGCAGTATAACTTATGCAGAATCAAATGCAGGGACTGTGGCTGGGACTTCAGATAAACATCTGCCCTGCACCCCTTGGGTTCCTGGTCAGGTTTTAGCTGCCAGAGCTGGTAGCATTGGAGGTTTCAGCTGTCCAGCCACAAGCGGACACATGTACCATCCAACTGCTGAGGGGAGCTGTGGGCTGGGTAGACACACCAGGGGACCCCAAAAGGAGAGCCCATCAACACATGACACAGCCACTGCCAGAGCATCTTCAGGCCTTGCCCGCCCAGGGCTCTGGCCCACTGCTCCCTCCTGCATCACCCCGGAGAGCCACACCCATGGGGAGCCCCTACCGGTCCCCAGACTGCGTGATGAGCCGGCGACAGGTCTCCATCTGCACGTCCAAACCTCGCTTCATGCTGCACATCTCCATGTACTCGTGCAGGTGCCGGTTCATGTCATTCTTGGCCGTGGCCAGCTCCAGCTGTGGTGGGGACAGGGCAAGGCCATGGATCAGCAGGGTCCCTGCCCCACCCCAGGGGGCCAGCACGCCAGGAGCGCCACCAGGCAGGAGCCCAGGCAGCAAAGGTTGGTGGCTCAGATTTAAAAATAAATCAGGTCAAGGCAAAAGGCCCCTAATATACTATCATTCCTTCTCGTCTTCCTGACAACCTCTGCCTACAGAGGAATCCAAAGGTATGCATTCTTTTAAGTCGCTCCCTGAGGAGAGCAGTGAGGAATTGTCAGTGCAGGCAGCTCTGAGGCAATGGACATTGTGGGGAGCGTGAGTGGTTCTGTACACAGCGTCACTTCCTCTCCATGGTTCCTCCAGGTCCTGGCCCATCCCTCACTCCCCGGACAACTCTGCACCCAGTCTCTCCCACACTGAACTGGGAGCTCTGGAAGGGAAAGGTCTTCTTATTCATCTCTGCATGTGCATGCCCAGCACCTCGATGGGAAGTTATTAATGAACTTTGTGAAGTACCCACAAGACTCCTGGCCTAAGGAAGAGACCTGGCCACACCATTGAGAGGGGCTCAGTTCTCGCACCATCCATTTCCTCCTTATTTCCTTATTTTCTCATTTGCAAGCCATCATCACAGACTAACAGAAAGACTGCTGTCCTCCTGGTTATAAGATGTATTTTGATTTAAGAAATATTTCATGTGCAAAAATGTGGGCTCAGACTCAAGGCAGCACAGGCTCCCTCCCGAGCCCAGTCCTGGCTCTGAGGAGGAGCCGAGAGGTGGGCGCGGAGGCAGGAAGACAATCTGCTGCCTCACTCTGTCTAGGGTACAAAGGACAGGGGCCAAAAGAAGAGGCAGAGTAAAACTGCTCAGAGTGGTATTTGCTTGACTGCTGAAGAGCAAAGCAAAAGGGTAGGAAACCACCCATAAATGCTCTGAACAGGACAGAGGAAGCCACCCCAAACTAATCCAAACTTGACAAAGGATGGGAACTTGGAGGAAGCAGTAAATGGGCCACAGGGCCAGACAAAGAGGTGGTCAGGACAGTAACAAGACAAGATGGTGACCTGGGTGGGTCAGAAGCCCTCATGAGTGTGGCTCGAATGGCTGGGGTCCCACAGCAGTGGGCCCAAGAAATAGGATGTGCCGACTGTTCAGGCTAGGAAGGAAACCAGAGAAACCAGCTCTTGTTCAGCTCAGCTGCCCCCTTCACCCTAATTTCCCACCTCAGGAGAGCCAGTGAGCAAGGGGCTGGGTTCTAGAGCCCACCACTCAGTACAACAGGGATGAAGGAAATGAGACAAATGTGTCTATCAAAACACAAGCCTAGACCTGCCACTGGCTGTCTCTGTGCATCTGTATGTCTCCCCATAACTCACACTTCAAAGCAGGGAGGAGGTAAAGAAGATGACCCTACATTCAAAGGTGCCAGTGACAACACGCGCTGATGACATCCACCAACTGCATAAGCAGAGGGCAGGGGAAGCGCGGGAAGATGGGGAAGAGGAGGCAGGGTGAAAGGATCCCTCCACCTCTACCCTGGGCTTTACCATCCAACAATGGGAAATGGTCCTCGCCACATCTCAGTGACCCTGAGAGGTCAACCTCACTGAGATAACAGGACCTCAGGTACCCCAGACGGATCCCCAGGAGTGGCACTGCCACCAACACCTTGTCTGCTCTCCTCACGGTTCTCCCACTGTCGCCGCCTGGGGAGAGGGGAGGCGGGGAAGTCGGTGTGAGGGCAGAGGGCAGCGGTTCTCCCTGCGCAGCTCCCCAGCTAGCGGCATGAGTCTGCTCTAACACTGAGCAGCTGTCTGCCTGCGCAGGAAACCAAAGCAGGTTTTGCTTGAAGGAGCAAGACTGTTTGATGTGTGTTGAGAGAGTAAGTATGTAGGAAATTTATTTCTCAACTTCCTTCTCAAAACGCAGGCAGTGTGAGAGCAGGGACAGTGTAATTAGCCACGTGGGCCTGGGGAGAGGCTGAGTCACAGAACTCCACTGGCCTCATGCCCAAGTCACAGTGTTCAGGGAAGGGCCCCCAACATGGGTAAGAGGGCTCACAGGAGCGCCCCCCCCACCTCCATGCAGGGTGCCACAAACCCTTCCTGCAGCCCCCAAAGGCCTGGCATGGAAGGTACAGCACCAGAGCCACTTGCCACCTCCAGAAGGCTCCCTAAGGCAAAGGACTAAAAATGGAGGTTCTGAGCCGAGGCAGCAGCCAGGTTCAGTCCCCGCTTAGTGGTCTCTGTGATGGCACCGAGTAGTAAGGATGGTAATAATAAAGCCAACACAGTGTGTTTGCTGAGAAAGACACTGCCCTAAGCCTCACTCAGGCAATCTTTCATGTGATCTTCAAACAGCCCTATGAGAGGAAGTATTAAGACTCCCATTTTACAAATAAAGAAATAAGCTTGGAGAGAATAAGCAGCTCATGAAACATCAGAGCCACAAGAAGTAAGAGACAGAGCTGAGGTCTGAGCCCCCATCACCTGCCCCACAGTGCCTGAGGTGTACAGCTACTACAGCAGGAGACCCTCTTCCTCCACAAAAGAACAGGGGAGGCCCTGGGCCTGGGGTCCCATAGCCCCACTCACGGCCTCGCTTCAGCTCACATCCTTACCTCTATCTGGTCAATGGTTTCCTGATATTCTTTCTCCCGGGTTTTGAACAGGGACTCAGTATCTTTAATCACCTTCTCCAAACTGTCCTCTTGCTGCTGGAGTAGGAAGGGAAGCAGGGAAGCGAGGGGGAAGCCGACAGGGAGGACCAGGGTGGGGCGATGCAAGGGCCAGGCAGGGGAGAGAGAGAGAGAGAGAGAGAAAGTCCGGTTACAGGAAACTGCAGGAAGATAAGGAGGAGGATAAAGGAAGAGGGGAGAAGCAGATAAAGGATGACAGCCACAGATGGAAAACAGCAAGGAAGCAGGGAGCTGGCTGGGCAGAACTATAGGGGCCCCGAGGCCGGGAGGGGTGGTTACCTCTCCCTGGGCCTCTGCAGCTGCCATGGCATAGCCTGAGAAATCCTCCCAAAGCAGCAGGGTCTCCTCAGTCTCCTCCCAAGTCAGGCTGTCACAGTCGTCCTCAAAATCATACTCCCTCCTAGAGACAGGGAACCCAGCTGTCAGGAGGGTGGGGCCCACCTCCGTCCTGTGGAGGGGCCTGCGGGGAGCTCCGGCCTCTGCGGGGGCTGTGGGGGGCCTGCGGGACTCACAGCTGGTTGAGCATACGCTGCATCTCCTCGTTGATGCTGAAGGCTGTGCTCTCCTCCTCATCCCCATCGGGCTGATGGGGCCCGCCACTCTCCGACAGGGAGGTGTCCTCCTCGATGGCAGCCTTGCGCTCCCGCTTCCGCCCCCCCATGGATGGGACCTTAATGGGAGACAAGTGCAGAGACTACAGAGACGAGGCCGGGTGCATGAGGAGAAGGGGGCAGGCGCCGGCAGGAATGCGCGGAAGGCAGGAGAAGCATGAACCAACAAAAGGGCGGGCGGACAGAGAGAGAAGACACAGTTACAACGACAGTAACGGACACCAGAGTCACCAAGAGGCAGACAGACAGACACAGATGGGGACAGGGCTGCAGACTGAGAAGGAAGGAGAGAAGAAATAGAGAACAGAGCAGTAAGATCAGGAGAAACGTGACCCTGCAGTGACCACGCTAAGATGTGCATAATGGCTACAGAGGACATTTATTCTTAAAAAAAGTCTTTCTAATGAAATGACTGAACTGAAAAGAAAAGTTTGGGCCGCAAGGACGAGGGGGCCAGTGTTTACAAAGGAGAACCTGAATCTATATCCAGATCTGGCAAGTCAGAGGTAGAGGGGTGGAAGGAAGGGAAGCCCAGGGGGTGGAGGTGGGGGGAAGGCAAGGGGAGAAAGAGGAGGGCGCAATCTGCGCCGAGCAGCCTGGCGGGGCAGCCCTGGGGGCCGGAGGCCTGGCTGCCTCTGAAACTGGGACCGGGACGTTACAGAGCTTGCATGAGAGCGCTACTAACCAGCTTCTTCTGTGGAGAAAGCAAGAGAAGATGAAGGAAGAGAGGCGAGGAGCAGACAGAGGAGAGAGAGAAGGAAGGGAGAGATGGCATTAGAAACAGCTTCCAAACTCCTCTCCAGAGGCTGCTACTTGCCCCCCAGCCTAGTCCCACCGAGGGCCCCATGATCAGGTCCCCCCGAAAAGGAGGGCAGGGCCTGGCTCCAGCCAGTGAGGACGGAAGGTTGTGCGTCTGCCCCATCCTCCCGAGGAGCTCGGGCCCTGGGCTGCGTGGGCCAGGCGCCTGAGCCCAGGCCTGCCCCTCCTGGGCCGAGGGTGGCCAGCCCTCACCTGGAACATCTTGATCACGTCCTCACAGTTGCGCTGCTGAGCCACGTCGCACAGTTTGGCAGTGATGTCGATGCGGCGGCAGATGTCCATGTCCACCTTCATGGCCTTTTCCTGGATCTTCGTGTCCAGCTCTGACAGGTTCTGGCCAGGAAACACAGGGGACAGTGAGCAAGCACCCAGACAAGGACTGCGAGGCAAGACCCTCCTCCTCCCTCAGGTTGTGCGCCACTGCCACCTCCTCCAAGCCCTCCCGGTGCCCTCCCCACAGCACCTGCTCACACAAGGAGCTGCTCTACAACTGGCTCCCTGGCCAGACGGGGAGCTCCTGGGAGATGCAGGGGCCCAGGGCCTGGGTCCCTTCCGGGACTATGTTCCCAGAGGAAGAGAGTACTGGGAATTACCCAGGGAGAGAAAGTGCTGTCAAAATAATACTACTAGTGAATACATATTTGGCACTAAGTATGTACAGCACTGTCCTAGGTACACTATATCCTTGCAGTCACTCTGCAAAGCACCTGCCTTGTCATCCCTTCCATGCTCGAGGACACAGGGCAGAGCACTGAAGGAGCTCACCCGTGCTGCACAGCTGGCAATGTGGAGAGCCAGGCTCTGGGTTCTTAACGAACTGCTTAACCACCATTAGGACCACAGAGATTATACGGCCCCTCAGACACAACATGGGGACTTCTGATCCTTCTTCTCTTGAATTAGGGGGCACCAGGGGAAAAAAGCAGAAGCATGGCAAAGTGGGGTGGGACAGGAGATCACAGCCCAAACTGCCAGGGCCGGCTGCGCCTGGTCCTGAGCAGCTCACGGGGTTGGGGGGCCACACTCACATTGCTCATGAGCCCCTTGAAGACCACCAGCTCAGCCTTCAACTGCTCCACCTTCATCGCCAGCTCCTCCTGGCAGGCATCAGCCTCTTGGGCTTCCTAGCCAGGGAAAAAATCCTAACATCAGTGGAACTGCCAGTGGGAAGGTAAGGACAGGGAGGGCCAGGGGCTGGCACCAGGGCCCAAGAGCAATGGGGGGGTGAGGGCAGAAGGCAGAGCGGCCCTCACCTCCTGGAGCTCGCTCACTCGCTCTTGCAGCTGTATGCGCACCGTGTACTCTTCTTCCCACCTAGCAGGCATGGGGAGAAGGCAGAGGGTCGGTGTGAGCCCTTCCCTGCCTGCAGCTCCCTGTTCCCCAACTCTCAGCTCAGGCTCACTCCCTGGTCTGGCTCCCTGGATAGGGAAGGGCTGCGGCCAGGAATGGCTGGCTTGCCAGTCAGTTGTCAGGCAGCTCCACACTTTCTGGCAAGGGCCAAGCTCACCAGCTCCCTTTCCAGAACATCCGGGCCATGCACCATGAACTACATTTTAAGAGAGAGTGCTGCTACCCTCGTCCTCCACAGTACCCGTCCCACCCAGGCCCTGTCTCACCAGCTGCCCGGCTGCCCACCACCACCCGCACCAGACCACCAGGCACCCCAGCCCAGTGTCCCACCTTCAGGCGCACAGATCCGGTCTCCCGCCTCCTGCCTGCACCAGAACAGAGCTCCTCTAGCCCGCTGCCCTGCCTCTTGTGGGACCATTTAACCCTGTAAAAGCAGCTGCAGGACACATCCCGCATCAACAGAGTTGGTCAAGAGCCTGGCAGCAGACACTCAAAGTCCATCCCCACAAGCTCCGGAAACTGCCTGCCCAGAGCCCCTCTCAGTGAGCCTAGAGGTGACAGGCTGGCCTGAGGCACCGAGGCGGTGGGGAGCAGGAGCCTGGGATGCCAAGCCCCTAGCCCAGAGGGAAGGGGCTGGAGTATTAAAAGTTAGTAGGGGGGCTGAGAGCTAGAAGCAGCATCTCCTGGGACCCAGATTCAGAGACCTAGACCACAAGTAGGCTAACAGGCACTCTTGGCCCCAGGCAGAGCTGTTATCCAGGTGGGCTTTTCACAGAGGACAGTGCTTGGCAAGCCAGGCTGGTTCCAGAACATGATGGGTGGGCGGCATCACCGCTTGGGCTCTTGGGATCCTGCAAGGCTGGCTGGGGGACCCCACCCACACAGCTAACACTTCTTGCCACATTCTGGAAAGGCTTCCTCCAGTCTGAGGAGGGGAACTGCACCAAGAGAGAAACTTCAACATAGGAGAGCTGGTTAGGAAGAAAAAAAAAAAGAGGACCGCAGGGAAATGAAAGCCCGCGAGGAACACTTCTGCAGACGTGGGGCTCTATCCTTCCTCCCCTCCCTGAGTCTCCTCCCATCTCGCCTGGGCATGCCCCCTGGGTGCTCCCATTCCTCTCTCACATCCGCACTGCAGCATTCCTAATTATAACTCCTCTACCTCACTGCCACTGCCCCTCCGGGCTGGGGAGAGAAGAGGCAGCCAGTCCAGCCACCACCCTGCCAGCTCATCACAACTCCAGTGCCCAGCCCTCTTGGCTCCTTGCCACCCTCCCCTGCTGCCCCCATGTCCTTCTCCCTCTTGCTCTGGCATCTCACTCAGGTGGGGGGTGGGGGTGCAAGGAAGGGCCCTAAGTCCATCGGGCTCTTAGGTAAGGCCTTTTTTTTTATCTCTTCTGGACCTTGGCTTCTTCATCTACAATATAAAGGCATGAGATGCAGTACCCTCACACTCTGGAGTCTCCGAGTCCCCAGAAGAGGAAATCAAGGCTGAAAGGACAGTGACTGTCCAAGATGCATCAGAAAGGGCGGGAAGCACTATTTGACAGTGAAGTAAAAAATTCAGGTAGAAACTTAACGAAGTTAGGTAAAGCTTAAGATGAGTAAACTCTTAGAGGGGTAAAAAAAAAATCTGAACGTAAATCTAGTAGTGGAAGCTACTGGAATTCTGTTTGCTCTCCAGCCAGACTTTCCCACAGATAGTTCCACTGTGACCTCCATTCAAATCTGCTCTCATGAGGTTCCTTTAACTTGGTAGAAAGTAAGCAATTTCTGGTACTCTACACTTACCAAACACCTCTCTTCTAAATAAATGGTACCCTTGAGTGAAGTGAGGAAGCAGGGACTATTCCTATATGGGAAAAACTGAGGCCAAGAGAAGGAGACCCACCCAAGGTCACACCCAGCAGGGGAGCTGAGAACAGAACAGAAGGCCTCAGCTCCTCCCCAGTGCCCTGCTCCAGCTACACCCCTGCCTTTCAGGCTACGGAGCTGCAGTATTGTTGTAAGGAGAACAAGGGCAGGACTCTGGGTGGATGAGTGAGCAACTGCCAGTGTCACATATCATACAGCCTGAGCTGCAGGGCCTCTACACAGCAGTGTGCTGCCAAGCGATGAGCTCGGTCCCCAGGGAAGAACTCTGTGCTGCCCTGGACAGCTGGACCAAGGACAAACACTCTTTCAGTTAAAAAAAAAAAAAAAAGAAAGAAATGCTCCTGTGACAGGCAGTTGTTCTTGTGGTTATGGATGTATTCCAGAACTGTCCGTCCATGTTCCACTGCTGACTGTGTTGATTACCCTCTGCAGGGATAGGGGCAGGAGCAGGCTGGTTCTGGGTGGCATCTGGATGATGGTTTTAGGAGAACTGAGAGTCCCAAAGACTCCCATAACATGGACTGCAACTAAGGGACAGGACTCAGTCCCAGAAAGCCTGCTCATCTGGATCAACTGGATGCTGGCAAGGTACAGATCCCTCAGACCCAGCAGCAGTTTCTGAGAACAGTCAGTCCCCACCAGACAGCTACACTTGGCAGTAGGGGTTGGAGGCAGGAGTAGTTCCCAAGCCTGCCCACAAGGGGTCAGAGTGGCTGATTAAGAGGTTAAATTTGAAGGCCCCCATACCAAAGCCTCCTTCTGACCTGTCATCTCCTTCCTCTTCAACCATGGCATGGGCGACAGAGCCTACAAAGCGCTGGCTGTGGTTGTGTTCCTGTCCTGAGAGCCTGATTATCAACCTTCTAAGAAGCCAGAGCTCCAGCACTGGGCCCCTGGTACTGCCCCACCAGTTCCTGCAGAAAGCCAAGTATGCACCCTCAGGATGCACTGGGCTGCCCCCAGCTGCATTATACTCACAGGGCATCTCCACACCCCTAGCTTTTCCCTCCTTGCTCCTTTGTTGGCTCTACTCACATTTCCTACGCCCTGGCTCTGCACTTTCTCAGATTCCCCCAGCTTCCACTGGCCCTATGACAACTACCAGGCTTTTCCCCTTTCCCTAGAGAATTCCCTTTGCTCTTTCATTTCCCATTTTTATTTTTTACCTACTCCAAGAATGCCCAGAGGTCCCCAGAGCCTTTCAGATGGAACTAGAGCAGGTACCCAGTTTCTACCAATATTGCTCTGGGAAACCCTGGGTGGGTGCAAGGTGCCCCTTCCTCCCCACCCCCTTCTAATTGCACTTAGACTTCTAAAGTACAGCTATATTCTTTGTCCCTTACTTTTGATCAGTATGTAGAGCCTATATGACAAAATTGCTCCAAGGTCTGAGACTGGGGGGATAAGCAGCACCCCAGATGTGACCTCTCAAAGCCATGTCCCCTTCACATCTCACAAAACCCCATAGTTAACAAGTCATCCAAACACTGCAGTTAGATAAGAGAAAAGAAGAGCCAGAAGAGAAAATATGAATTCCCCACGGTATTCCTCTCCCGGTGTCCTTCTTGTTGCAAGTGGGACTTCTGCATTCTCTGTGGATTCCAGCCTCCCTGTATCCAATCCCATCTACCTCCTTCCAAGCTCCACCTGACACAGCAGGAACTTCACTCATTTAACTTCTCCCTGATTCTTAGGCCCCAGCTTCTTTCCTCTTCTGGATCCACACCTAGTTCCGGCCATGTGAGCATGACAGAGGGCCCTGTCCCTCCTTCCCGGTCCCTACCTCCGCTTGTATTCATCCCGCTCACGCTTCACTTTGGCCAGCACGTTGTAGAGCGCGCGGATCTCGGGGGTGATGGTGTCGATCTGGACGCCCACCCCATCGGGGTGCACCCACGACAGGCCAGGCCCTTGCACTAGGGTGGGCTCCAGTCCCGGCCCGAGCCGGCGGGCGTGAGAGAAGGACCAGATGGTGCCGGGCATGAAGCGGGCCGACGAGGAGTAGCCGGCGGAGGTGGAAGTGGAGGGCGATGAGTGGCAGGCCGAGGAGGGCGCGAGCGGACCGGCTGGCGAGCGCGCGGGCGAGCCCAGCACCAGCGCCGACGGGGTGCAGACGGCGGCCGGCCGGGCGCCCAGGGTAAGGCCCAGGGGCCGAATGGGGCTGACGAAGCCGGTCTGCACGGCCTGGTCACGGCGAGCCAGGCCCCGCCGGCTCTGCTTACCCTCCTCCAGCGCCTGCTGCAGTTGCTTTTCCAGCAGCCGGTTGCGGCGCTCCAGCTCGTGCACCTTGGCCAGGAAGCAGCGGAACCGGAGGTTCAGGGTCTTGAGCACGTTGATGTTGGAGCCCAGGTCGTTGCGGAGCGCCATGGCGGCGGGGGGCGCCGGGCCCGGCCCGGGCGGCGAGTAAGCAGCCGGGCCGGCCGGAGCGAGCGGCACCGGGGGCACGTCCCCTCCGCCGGGGAAGTGGTCGCCTCCCAGGGGTTCCCCCAGCGGCCCGGCCAGTCCCTGCTGCTCCTGCTGTAGGAGGAAGAGGTTGGGACCGAATAACGGATTCATGGCTGCGCCTTCTGCTGGGAGACGGAGACCGGTGCAGGAGCAGGGATGGAGGGCGAGAGAGAAGAGCCAATGAGACGCCAGGGGAACGCCGGGCAACCAATCGGACGGCCCAACAGAAGGGTCAGAGGTCATGGGGGCGGGGGAGGGCAAAGAAAAAGCCAATGAAAGGCTCAACTGACGACTGGCACCTGGACCTTTCCGGGCCTGAGGTTGAGCCCGGGCCAACAGATCACCGGCCGGCCCTTCCAGATGGGACCCCAGCCCATGCCCGAAATCCACTGGGGTGGCAGAACACCCAGGTCCTCCAGTACTCCGAGTTCTCGTGTCCGGAAGCCCCACTTGCCCACACCAGTAACTGCTCTCCTTTCCCCAGGGTCCAAACACCCTTGACTGACCCCGACTCCTTTCCTGGGTCCCTGGGAAGACTCAGGGATCCCAGGTGCCTGAGTGTTACCTAGCTTTCAGTGTACCGCAGTCCCCTCCGTCCCACCCTCCCATCCCTGCCCTTAGAGCAGCAAAGCCTATACCCAGTTCCCTCAAAAAAAATACAGTCACCAGAGACTGAGGTGTATTAGATTTCACATGCGCAGCAGGGAAGCAAACCTCACAAAGGTAAGGGTTCCAACCCAGTGACTAAGACAATGAGCCACCCCAGTCTAGTTTCAACCAGCCATCTAAGACAGCAGTGGCTGGCTGCTGCCGCAGGACTGGGATTTTCTCCTCTTTGCTGGTGGGGGCCGGCTGGAATGGAGTGGGGACATGGAGGGAGTATTAGGTCTCTTGGGGGTGCCATTCTGTGTCTGGAAGGCAGCTTTCTTGAGAGGCTGTTCTGGCAACTGCTGCTTTACCTTCTCAACCCCTCTGGCATTCCCAAGGGGCTGATCGTGGTCCTCAGGCTTGCGGGTGGCCTGGGTCTTGGAGAGAGCCAGAAGAGCAGGCACCTCTGGGCACGAGCCCTTGTGGGGAGCACTCTGCTTCAGGAAGGCAACTTTCTTGGACAGCTGCAGCTTTGGTGACTGGTGCTTTAGTTTCCCAGTCACCTTCAGCTCCCTGGTCAGTTCAGCTTTTCCAGCTGGCTGACTGCTATCCTGGAGCTTGGAGGGAGCTTGGGCCTTTCTGACAGAAGATACAGGGGCCAGTTCTGAGTCTGTCGCTTTGGAGATGCCATTCTGCTTCTGGGAGGAGGCCTTCTTGGGATGTCGCTGTTTCTGCAACTGCCACTTGGCTTTCACAGCCACTCTGGCCTTCTTGGCAGGCTGGCTGCTGCTCTCAGGCTTTGGGGTCACCTGACCTTTCAGGTCAGACAAGTCTGGGTTTGTAGGGATGGATGCTGAAGAGTTGCCTGGGGTTAAAATTAAAGATGGTTTCAGAAAATGGCCTCATCATTGGGTCAGGATCATCAGTGGGGAGAAGCGGAGGTATTAAAATAAGGCAACTGCCTGGGTACTCTTGGCCCAGTGTTGCCACCAACTGGGACTCTGCCTAAGAGCAGATTCCCCAGTTTCACATTACTTAGCATTCACTTTATATCTGAACCTTGTATTAAATAAAGGAAAGGAACCACTACCCAACCTTGGGCCAAAAGGTTTTTGGAGGAAACTGTATCCCCTTGAGGGCAGCAGATAATAAGATACTCTGAGGAGGAGGTGAATCCTGAATAAACCTAAGGCACTGGGCTTTTTTTTTAATCAAAGAAGATAATTTTCTTAATGTAGACTTTGATGAGATGCAGGAAAATAAGGCTAGCACACAGCAACTACAAACAAGCTAGTAAGACATAAACAAGGACTGACATGAAATATGTACTTTTTAAATTACAGGAAAAGAGTAAATTTTGCTATTAAGGTTTTTTTGCTCTGTTAACATTCAGATGTAAATTTTTAAGGGGCATTATTTATTAAGAAAAAAAAGATCAACTTAGTAAGTCATTCATTTTATACTCAGAGGCTCTCTTCTCCCTTTTCCAATTAAACCCAGGTTACACTGAGCATGCAGAGCTCTCAAGCTAGTTTCAGAAAACTCCACCCTTCCCCAAGATCCAGGCCAGACTCCTCAAGATGTCTGAGAAAAAGACCTGCAATTAGCACGACGGCTCAGGAAACTGCTCATAGTTCTGAAGAGTCTTGTGCCAACCCCGTGCTGACAGTGCTAGGCCGGCAGAAGTATATTACCAGTAAGGCAACCCTCAGCCAAGACAGCAAAGAAACCACAACCTGCACTGGGGATGAATTTAGTGCCAAACTGTAGCTGCTTGGTAGAGTAAAAAAGAGATCCCCATCCACACGAGTGTTTTGAAATACTGCAGTAGGGCCCAGGCTTGGGAACAATTCTAGCTGGGATGCAAGGGGTCTCTCATCCAAGCATGCAAAGGCTGGGAACAGGAAGGCAGAACTCTGCAGTCACACTATGAAGCCTCTTGAAAGAAGCAAAGGTGGTGATAAGGGTAGAGAGAACAGATCACTTACCTGTTTGGGACTGGGGGATAGAATTGGAGAATTTCTTGAACTTGGCAATAAAGAAACCATCCATGTTGTGGGTGTGAGGGTAGAAGCGGCGTGTTGAACGCAGAGAGGGGTGGAAGCGCCTTTCTCGAAAGCGGGTAAAACCCTCCTGGCCAAAGTCCAGACCTGTAGGCACCAGCCTCACATTCCTCTTTTTCAGGGCATAGTTGACCACCCACTCATTCTCTTCCACCTGGACATGTGGGAGAGGCAGAAATGGAAGGGAAAGCAGAGCTAGAGCTCACAGGAGCTCTAAGGGGCAACAGGCCTCCCATCCCTGCCCCTCAGGCTCTGACACAACAGCGGTCTCACCATGATGGAACAGGTACAGTAGACAAGGTAGCCTCCTGTCTTGGAGGTGGCACTGACAGAGTCAATAGCACTCAGGAGCAACTCTTTCTGCAGGTGAGCACAGCGCAGGATGTCCTTCTCATCCTGTCCCAAGGAGGAGACACCAAAGGTGTCAGAATTTCAAAGACAGCCTCAGGTGGAGGGGTAAGCAACTGACTGTTTAGAGTGCTCCTCTACCTCCCATGCTGGCTCTGCAAGGCCCAGCCAAGGCCACTGTCTGGTCCTCCCACACTTCTTACCTTGTTAGTCTTCACAGCTGGATCCTTGGAGATGATCCCAGTGCCACTGCAGGGCGCATCCAAAAGCACTCGGTCAAAGCCCCCCACCACCTGGGAAACAGGGCATGTTAATCAGATGTTTCTGGCAACCTGACCACACCCTTTATTCCTAGGGGCAAGTCTAAGCATTTGAATGTCAGGAAGGGGGCAGGTGAATTGTAGACACCTCAGGAAAGCCACACCTTAGGGAATTGGCGCCCATCGTAGTGGCTGATAATGGTGTTGGTGACTCCCAACCGGTGCAGGTTGCCCACAACACTCTTGAGCCGCTCAGCATTGGCATCATTGGCAAGGATCACACCTGTGTTCTTCATGAGCTGCGCTGAAGGGCGGGAGGGCACATGCTCAGCAGTGAGCTCCTCTGCCTCCACACGTACCAGCTGACTTCCAGCTGGTAGAATCTCATCACTTCAAAGCATCTTCCCTCCAGAAGCCCGTTTCCCACTGTACTGTCCAGGTCTACCCAGTCTGCACCAAGCCCGGGTGACGGGCAAGCCTGCCACCATGGTTTTCACTGCCACTGAACATCCTCTGGCTCCAGACTGTCACTTCTTTGAAAAAGCTACAGTTTAATGAGGTAGTTCTGAGTAGTTATGTGCAGAACACTAGGTCAAAACCTGACAATGCTAGCTGACAATGCTAGGCTGGCAGAAATCTACTACAAATAAGGCAACCCTCTGCCAAGACAGCAAAGAAACCACAACCTGCACTGGGGATGAATTTAGTGCCAAACTGTAGCTGCTCGGTAGAGTATAAAAGAGACCCCCATCCACACGAGTGTTCTGAAATACTGCAGTAGGGCCCAGGCTTGGTAACAGTTCTAGCTGGGATGCAAGGGAGTCTCTCATCCAAGCATGCAAAGGCTGGGAACAGGAAGGCAGAAATCCCTCCCTTCTCTGCAGTCACACTATGAAGCCTCTTGAAAGCCTACTATGCCACTCTGTACACACAGCTCAACCCTCACAATGCAAGCACACTCCAACGGCCAGCCCAAGACCATGCCATCTTATAGGTGATGAAAGAGGACTGGGGGCTTGCCTAAGGTCATATGGGCAGTAAGCAGTGCACATAGGGCTGCAACCCAGGTCAGCTCCAGAGCCTTTGCTCCTCACCACTCTGCCAGCTGCCTGTGCCCTGCTTCTTGAACACTAACAAGTCCCTGATCCCATCTACTTTCAAGAGCAGAAAGCCAAATGAATCCCACCCCTGCCTGGCCCTCTCATACCTATGTAGCTGGTCTTTCCTCCAGGGGCACAGCACATGTCCAGGATCCGCTCGTGCTCCTGGGGTGCCAAGGCCATGACAGGCAGCATACTGGAAGCTCCCTGCAGCATATAGTGCCCAGCCAGGTACTCCGGAGTAGCACCTGTGCAGGAGAACCCGTCAGTGATGCAGTGCCTAGAGCAATGGCAGGGGGACTCCTAGGCAGCGCACACTTACCAATGGGCACTGAAGAATCATACACCACTAGTCCAGTCTTTGACCACTTGCCCACGGGATCCAGGTTAACCCCACGATTGATTAATGCCTGAAGATAAAAAATAAAAAGATTTAGAAGTCTCATAAGCTACTATACCCAGAAAACAAATTGAGACATGAAAACCTCATTCTATCAGAAAATCTGTGGCACTACAACCGGAGCCTGTACTCAGAACACAACAATCAGAGTCACTGAACAGTTTTTCCTGTCTCATCCCAACCTAAATGTCCTTCACTGTAGCCTCAGGCTCTAACTCAAGGTCTGAACTCCATCCCAATGGAACAGACAGCTAATTCCATTCTTTTATCTCCTGAAGTAGACTAATTTTCCAAGAGGCTCAGTCCCCTTACCATCCTAAAATGAAATGTCACTGCTTACAGCAACTAAAGATAATTATCAGGTTATCTTCACACCAGGAGATATACAACACACAGGCCCACACCACATACTTTAGAACAGGGTCTTAAACCTGGGGCCCTTGAACTCCTGGAAACAATGAGCTTAAAGTGTTGTTTGTGCAAGTGTGTTGTGTCTTTTTCTGGGGGCAGGAATCACAGCTGTACCAGCTTCTTGATTTAAAGGCAGACTCCCTCCCATTTCTTTCTGAGGCAGCCCCCTCACCATGTTGCAGATTGCTCAACTCTGTCACTGGGAGCAGAGGCTAAGGGATGAGTTTTCTACTCCAGAGGTCCTAGGGCAAGCCAGCCAGCCAGCCAGCCCCAGCATGACACCAGGCCTGTCTAGGTTTGCCCCCTGGGACCATGACTGTACGAAGAAATGCTTAGCTCCTGAGACCCACCCAGCCAGGGTGGGAAAAGGGAAGTCTCTACAGTTAGCAGAAACCAGTACCTCCCTGAGATGAGCAAACTGCAAAACCCAACCCTCACCTGAGCAAGATCTCGGCGCCGAGTTTTCAAGGTATTGGTCCTGAGGGTGATGGGCCGAGGAACCTCATTAGCTTCTAAGAACTCCACCAGCTGGGAAAACAAGATGGCAGGGGGCAAGTCAGGCTGACCAAAGAGCTTAGCCAGAAGAGAAGAGAGCAACACAGCTGACGGCCTTCCTTACAGAGCTCATGAGGCGAGAGATGGTGAGAAAAGCAGAAGGGGTGTGAGATGGACAAATGTACTACCTCTGACAGAGGGAAGAGGTCCATGAGCTTGCCGAGCAGGAAGTCTCCATATGAATAGTAAGTAGCCAGATCCTTCTGAAGCCGGTGCAGGTATTCAGAACGAGACCGACCTTCCTCCCGCTGAGATCCAAAATCCTGCAGCACTTCTACTATATCCTGGATGCGCTTGTGAACTTGCTGCAAGTCTGGAGTCTGGGCATGTGGATGCGTTAAGGAACTGTTTCACGAGGTCCCAGGGCCTGGAAATCCCCTCACCCTGCACTGGAAGGATATCCTGTTCCATCTCCCCAACAGTGGGCAACACAAAGGGCTCCTCATCCACATTGATCTGTAGGCCTCCATTCATCTCCTTATTCTTTTTGGGGACTGACTCAGGCAACACTTTTTCCATTTCCTCCTCTTCATGAGTCTCCTCCTCACACCAGTGGCCCCTAGAAACAGGTCCAGGAACAGAACAACTCACAGATCAAAACAGACACCTCCTCCTTCCTCAGTTTCCTTCACCCCCTGCCTCATCTCTCTCCTAAGAGTTTTCAAAACTCACCCAGCAACAGCTTCCCGTGCCTTCTGCTTCTTAGCAGCTTTTTCAATGGGCAGCAACTGAAAAAGAAACCAGAGGCTGTTAATGCAAAACCTGCCCTTCCGCCCTCCGACTGAGCCCCTTCTCTGTACTTTTACTTTTTCCTAAATACAAGTGTAACACTTGCTCTAAAAAGGAAATGCCCTACCCTAAAGCAATTATTAGATTGGTACAAAGTTCACCACTGTTGAAACTTACTAAAAGATTGAAGAAGTTCACTGCACTGTTCTTTCTACTTTTGTGTATATCTCCCTTTCCATGAAAAAGCTTTAAACATTAACACCCACTCATAGAGAGTAAAAATGGCTCTTGGGCATCCATTTTGCCTTATTTTCTTCCAGACTTAACTCTCCATTTTTCATAGTTTCAACAGGGTGCATTTTCAAGTCTGTTCCTTGCATTTTCTCATTCACAAGCACTTTCATAGACATAAAGGCCAAATGTTAGTTCAACATATGAAAGAGAACCATAACTTAAGTATATTGGATATTTTGAAGTTTCCAGAGTTTTTGTCATTATGGTCCACATGGTGTCTGCAAATCTCGTAATAGTAGAGAAAAAGGGGTTGTGGGAGAGGTGTGCAAACGAGATTTATTTTTATTCCACACAATTCTACATGGCTTGAGTTTTCTAATAACATGCTCATGTTCAATTGTATAATACATAAAAAACTCATTACATCTCCATAAATAATATTTGTACACATTCTGATCATCTTCCTAAGCAGAATACTAGATCAAAAGGGAAAAATTTAAAGGTTCTCAGATACCAAAATCTTTATTAAAAATGTGTGTGCGTTTCTATTCCCATCAGCGCGGCATTCAAGTGTCCACCTTCCTGCATCCTCACCAGCAATGAGAACTCTCTTATTTTAAAATGCTCTACTCTACAGCTCTTTCACACCCACACATGCACCAAGAGGACACATGTAACAGGAAAACAGTGATAGAACTCTAAAATCCCTTTTCTCTGCTCAGGCTTAGCCTTGTCACTGAGGGACAGTCTCAAGGGTCTGGAAAAACTTTGAAAGGCAATGATTTCTGCCTGAACACCCAGAGAGGTAAATCTCACCTCTTCACCTTCCTCCTCCTCTCCATCCTCTGAATTAGAGTCTGCTCCATAGTCGTCTATCACGTCAGCATCACTGTCCTCGGCGCCCCAGAGGTCCACCTGGGTCACCACACCATCCTCCTCAGAGTCTTCCTCCTCCTCACTGCTGCGGGTCGGTGCTGGGCGCTCCTTGCCTCGAGCAGTGTTCAGGAAGTGCCGGGCTCCCTTCTTCCCAGGTGTCTGGACGGCTCCTCCAGAGATCCCTAAGGGTTTGAAGAACCCCAGACTGCTGGCAGCACGTACTGATGGCGCCTGTACTTTCTGCCCCAAAGATTGTCCTCAGGCTGTTCCTTTCCCTCCAGAAATGCCCAGCAAGCCCTTCCCTTCCCAGGACCCAGACGACTCCTCATGGCACCCAGCTCCTCCTTTCACTGACCTTTTGGTAGCTTTCCAGGCAATGGCTTGGCCCCAGGACACTTATTTGTCTTGGGGGCTTCAGCAGAGCCCAGCCTCCTCTTGGCCACCCTGAAATATGTAGGAAGTAAGAACATACCTCCACCTCTGCCACTTCCTATCACAGAGAAATGTGACAGCCCCCAAAGAGCCCTTTCCATCAATATGATCACATGGGCTCCCATGGCCGAAGATAAGCAGTACCAATTTAATTTGTGTAAGTCTGGACATCCACACTCACCTCTTTCGAGCACGACTAGATAGCCTCTTGGAATTTTCTTCATGAGCTGTTAAAAAAAAAAGAGGCTGAACAGGAGATTCCAGGAGAAATGAAAAGGGAAATGAGAGACACTATGGGTAGGAAGAGTATCAGTACATTAATTAAAGGGAGTAGATTGTAACTCACGCCACAGTGGTTTACAAGGAGCTGGATAAGAGATATAAAAAGTATCTCCATCTTTTCTCCCCAATATTAGTCACCTTTATTCATATATAAAAAGTATGTTAGGATTTATGTAAATGTATTAACATGTCAGTTTTTATTTAAATGGTCTCTATCTTCAGCAACCAAATCCAAATACCAACCACAGCAGATTTCACCTGTACAACTGCTATTTTCCATGCATTTTTCAACAAACAAAAGCTTAATTCTGTCATCACTTAATACCTGTATGTAAGTCACTTCACCTCTTAACATTCATTCTTTAACAGTGCCTCTCTCACACGGCACTAAGGAAATGAAGTGACAGAATGTGTGCACAGGGTTCAATATAGCGCCTAGCACTTGTTAAGACCTCAGTAAGCTGCATCTTTTATCCAAAGCCCTACATACACCACCTGTCCACTCTTCTCTCCCATCCAGTCTTCACCATGTGGGAACCAGATCTAGGGTTTCCTATCTCCATCCCCTCGACCAGGCAGGTCACAGTGAAGGGCCTGTTCCCTTCCCAACTTCTACCTGCTAAAATGTCACCCATTTTTCAAAACTCGGCTTCTTAACAAAATCTTCTTAAATTCTCTTAACAGCATGGGATCCTCTCTTCCTCTGAACCCCCCTCAATATTAAGCTGCACTTCTTTGCATGCCATATCTGTGTCCTTGTCACATCGTCCTTAACTTTTAAAGACTGTTAACAGTGAGTGTTTCGTACTCATTTTCTAGTAACTTACGCAAAGAAAATTCCACTCGAACAGAGAGTAAACGTAAAGACTAAAAAATGCAGAGTTACTATACAGATAAAAAGACTGGGGCAAAAGCTGGGGAATGGGTAGAGCCTCGTACCTGCCGGCAAAAATCTAGCGAGTTCGGTCTCAGCACCCTTCTGTTTCCTGGCTTTTCGGCCCGGCCCTCGCTTCTCTTTCTTCGTAGGGTCCAACTTGCGCCCCATGGTACTGAGGGAAAAAAAATGGGAGAAGACAGCGTCGCGCTCGTTGTAAAGGGAAAGGCTGACTGCAGACTCAGCGCAGCGCACTAGAGTGGGAAAGGGCATCGCCTGAACCAGAGCCTCGACGCGGGACGCCACCAGCCCCTCCAGGCCTGACCAAACCTCCATTCCATTCTGATACCCGGGCTCCGTCCCCACGCCCCGGGCCAGTCGCCCTTCCTTTCCCGACTTCCTCCATACCCACCGAAGCCTCGGCTCACCTGAATTCGGGTGCAGACACGAGACGCCCCCGCGGCCCGAGGCGTAGCACTCCACGTGCGCTGCCAAGACAGAGTTCGGGTGCCACACCGTGCGGAAACGTCTCACGCAGGCGCACTGTGAGCTTTAGCCTCGTGGCCCCGCCTCTTCCGGTTGTTTCCGCAAGCGCATCCTGGAAACGCTACTGGCGGCGTAGCCAGAGAAAATGGGGAGGCGGACCCGCTGAGCTTGACACACCGAGGGTGGAGAAAACTATGGGGGCGGGACCGCTTTCAGCCCCCAGCTTTTCCCTGGAGGTATCGGCTTTCTACCTTACTGTAGAGTTAGGTCCGAAAAACTGGTTATTTCAAAGTTGTCCCCTTCCCTCAAAGTAATGCCTAAGAACCTGGGCCTTCCTGCTGGCATTCCCGCGGTCTCAAGATCACAGACTCCCACGCCGCCTACCTACTTGCAATCCTCTGATTGGGAAGTCCTCCTTGACCCCAGAGGATCCTGCACAGCCTGTCAGGTAAGGTTCCTCTCTAGGTTGACACCTGGAGGTCGGAAGACATCTTACATCCTAATACAAGTTCCTAGGAACTTCAGCCCTCCCTCAAACGAACTCCAAGGAGTGCTTAGTAACTGCTGAAAACTGTTGCAAGCACTTTATTGGTTTTAGCTTCACAACGCTATGAGGAAGGTATCTATTTTATATGAGAAATCGACAGCCCAGATTAACTTAGTCCAGGTCAGAGCCATTGAACAAGCAGTGCATTGAACCCAGGTTAGTTTTGGGAGTCTCTCACTTCCCACAGATGGCGGTCATCCGTAGCCCAGAGCACACAGGGCAGGCACATGCACACAGACTTAATACGGCTCCTTCGTGGAGTATCAGATCGCAAGGTAACCCTTGGTTTTCAGTTACAGGACTCTCAGGGCTCCTGTCATACACACTCATACCCCTGCACTGCACCCACACTGAGCCAGAGCACTAAAATACAAGGAAACTTTTATTTTCAGTTTTCATCAAGAAATTTGCTGTGGTTTTTTATGCTTTTGGTTCTTTTCCTTTTTTTTTTTTTTAAACACTTTATTTCATTCTAGCTGCTTAGTGGCTGGAGCCGCTGGGTTCCTGGTATTAAAAAGATGCCAACAGAGGTAGCTGTGTCTCGCCCAGGGGCCCGGCCCACTCTGAATACGCCCAAAAAGGAGAAAAAACAAAACAAAATAAAACCAAAAGGAGGAAGAAATTCAGATCATTTTCTTCAAGCCTGGCAGGAACCCATAACAGTTCGTGTGTAACAGACGTTACAGCGGGGAGAAGCCAGGGCCCAGAAGGCCAGCCCGCCAGCTCCCTGCAGATGGCGCCGGCGCTACTGCTGCATGTCTCTCCAGCAGGAAGGGCACCACTGCCCCTCACTCCCCCTTCCCCCAGTGCACTGGGGGCTGTTCCTTTACAACATGGAAGATGGGGCAGAAGGAAGGAGAGGGTCTCCCAGGCCCCCAGAGGAGAAGCTGGGCAAGGGAAAGTGAGGAAGGTCACTGCTCAGCGGTGGAGGTGGTGTCCGTCTGGTTCTTCACTGCTGCTGGGCTACCTGTAGGGAGAGAGAGCCAAGGAGTCAGAATACCAGAGCACAGGCATTCACCCAATCCCCAGGGAACCCAATGGTAAGACAACCTGACTGCTTAGTAGGGGACAGAGAGCCTGAAGCCAGGCACTGAGAGCAGGGTTACAAGTCCTGGCATGGCTCTGCTCGAACAGCTGGCCAGAAGAAAATGGCCTTACCTGCTGTGGAGTCGGTTCAGGTGCTCGGTTTGCCAGGCGGCTGAGAATGTTACGCTCTGACATCTGTAGCCTCACAGCAACTGGAGGAATTCGGGCAATGGTAGCAGGAAGGCGAGTCACATCGGCTTTCATGTCACTCAGCAGTTCTTCTAGCTGTTTCAGAACTGTGCAGAGGAAAAAAAGAGGTGGTGAGCTGTAGTGCTCAGCACCGAGACCCTTACCACAGCGACCACCTCCCACTTCTCAGTGACCATGACTGACGTGCTTGAGTACTGTCTTCAGCCATTGACTCACTTGATCTGAGCACAACCATGCTCAAATTCCTGCTCTTTACAGTCCAGTTCCAACTGTCCATGATTCTTTGCTTTTTAGTCACCTAATTCTCACTGTCCCTTGCTCCTGTCTCTATTTCCTCCACTTCTTAGGAGAAGCTTATTCTTATTGTTTCCTGTCTTTTCTCCCCACCTTTTGGAGCTATCTCCCTCTTCCCTCTAACAGCCTTCTTCTTTTCCTCATTTCACCTTCCACCCCCGTGCCCCCCAAATGTTTTAACTTTAATTAGAAACAAGGTGTTTGAAAGAGGTCGAGAATTTGTAGGGATCTTAAATCACCTCGTTACCTCTAAAGTACCAAAGATGACAGACACTATATTCTGGTTTGCCTTCCTCCTCCAAGAACTTGAATACATTAAAAGAGGCAAAGAGCTACTGTCCTTGATTGCCACTAAAATATTAGCTTCCCAAGGAGGAAGGCAAAGATCCCCAGCACATCCTAAGCTTCCAGACAAAGGGGCTGAAAAAGGTTTGGGAACAAGGGAATGTGTGTTGGAGAGGGCTAGAGGAAGGAGACTGAGTCAGTAGGAGGCAGGAGAGCCACTGGCTACCTTTGTGCAGGACCGCATTGGCTGGCTTGTTTCCTGCCATTGACTCCTTGGACAGATGCTGATGACTCTCCGCCAAACACTCCACCTCAGCAAAGCGGGTGTTTAGGGCCATGGAAGGGTGAGAGGGGTCCTCTGACATGTTCAGGTAAGCTGCCCGGCGCAGCTGTTCCTCAATCACCAAGGCTTGTTCTAAGAGCTGGACAAGGGATAAAGAGGAGATGGGAGTTGGCCTGACACTGTTTGCTTATTTCTGACAGGCCTCAGAACCTATAAAGAACCTTCTGGATGGCTCCCCACACCCAAGCAGTTCAACATTACATTGCTTTTTTTAACCCCCCTTTGGAGATAAATGTAAAACTCTTTATCCTCTATTCATTTGCTCTAATATAAAAATGGTGACTCAATTTAGAAAATACAGAATGTATAAAGAATTAAAATCACAAGTAATTCCACCTCCTAGAGATACCATTAACATTGTGAGGCTTTCTTTTGCATTATTTCCTACGTAATTGAGAGCATTCTGTATACATTATCTATACTGGGTTTTCACTCAAAGCTATATAGTCTTCCTTTATTATTAACTGTTCTTTATAGAAGATGACTTTTAATGGCTGCACAGTAGTCCATTCTATGGACATACTACCATACTATTTTACTTGTTTAACTCTTTAAAATTATTCTTTCTTGTCTCCCTCACTACCATTCCTTTACTTACCCCTAAGAAGCAACCCCTTGAATATACTGTGTCTTTTTGTGTGTTGTTTTTGAAGGCTCAGTATTGTTTCATGTGCACATTTCTAATCTATAGAATGATGTTCTGTACAAAATGCTTTTCTTTCTTTCCCTATTACATCTTATGTTGTTATTTCACATGTATTTTGTTGTTTTAACAGTTGCTTAATGCTCCAGGATCTGAATCCACATTCTGCCTATCCACATTCCCAATGCTGGACATCCAGGTTGCCTCCACACCCCCCACCAAAAATCACACTGCAACACTTGGCACATGTTGTCTGATGGAGCTGTGTACAGGGTCCTTGAATTATATTCCAAGAGACAGAATGGTGATTCCTAAATTATGAGACTTAATTCGCTCAGTGTCCACTGGTTTTTAAAGAGAACGATTCCATTAGGGGGTCAGGAAAAAGGACAGTATGAGAATAATGGGCTGTCGTTTCTTCCACAAGATCTGGATCCATCAGGGCCTCCTGCTTAATCCCCAAACAGAATGAGCATCTACTTTCATCTGTAAACCCATCTCTCTCACCAATTCCTCATTCTGCCCCAAACTCTGAGCTTTGTCTAGGATACCTGGGCTTGCTGCTATTCTTTTAAAGCATTCTCCCAAGAGAGTGCTCCTCTCCTAGCATCTTCAGCACCTCCACACAAATGCTTTTCAAACCTGCATCTCAAGCACTGATTGTTCTGCTGCCACTCAGGGATGGTTGGGCACTCTTTGATCCCACTTGCTTATGGTAGTAGGGGTAGTGGGAGGGTATTTACTTGTGAGAAACATCAAATGACTTGTCTAAAATTGAATTTACTCTTTTCTACAAACTGTTCCCTCTCACTTCCTTGATACACCGATGATAACTTTCTTCGTGACTCAGCTCAAACTTCAGTTATTTTTGGAATCCTTTGTATCTCAAATCCAGTAAGTCAGGAGTTGGCAAACTATGGCCCGTGGGCCAAATCTGGCCCACTGCCTGTTTTTGTATGGCCCAAGAGCTAAAAATGTTTTTATGTTTTTGTATGGTTTAGAAAAAGTCAAATAAGAGTAGTTTGTGACACTTCATAGAAATTATTTGAAGTTCAGATTTCAGTGTAGATAAAAGTTTTATTGGAACACATTCATACTTATTTATCACCTGTGGTTGTTTATACACTCTCACAGTTGAGAAACCCTATGTCCCACAAAGCCTGAAACAGTTACTATCTAGCCCTTTAAACAGCAAAGGTTTTTGCTGACCCCTACAGTAAATCAGTAAATCCTGTAAATTCTTTGGTGTTTTGTCTCGTTTACTTTATCCTTTCCATTTTCCACAACCAGCATCATGCTCACCCCCACTACCTCACAACTCCACAACAGCACTATAATCTCATAAATGTTTCCATTTCCCTTGGTTCTAAGCACAGCTCTTTACAGCCTTCACTGGCTGCCCATCAACTGTAGTCCAAACTCTCTGATCTGGTGCCAAAACCCACCTACTGACTTCTAGCATTCTCTCTCTCTCCAATCTACCTCCCACCATCACCCAACACCAGTGCTTTCTCAGCCCAGTGGTACTGTTTGTTGTTTCCGAGCACCGTAAACTCTGCTGCCTTCTGTTGTCTTTGCCTAGCCTAATCCCTTTGGTTCAAACAGCTTTATTTCTATCCAACAATCTCAATTACATTCATCAAAACTTAATTCGAGTGCCATCTTTTCCAAGAAGCCATTTGTGAGCTCTGTCCCCACTCCCCAAATTCCCTCTGGAGAACTTTCATATGGATTCAG